ACCGAGCTGTCGTGTCCACCCACCGGGGCATCTCCAGGCCCAGAGCAGTCCCGATACAAGATCTCTTTTTTTTTTTTTTATAGTGCAAAGAGTACTGTTTGACACCCCAAAACTCCCTTACAGAGAGGCCCTGATTTACCCACAAACTTTCGCAAAGCAAGTCACTGGTAGGCTTAAATGTGCTCTGGCTGCAGCCAAGGCAGTGCTGGGCGGACGTGGGCTTGGAGACCTGCTAGCCTTCAGGCTGACCCACTCAAGTGATGAGAAAGCAAGAGAAAAGGGGCCTGATCCCCCCCCTTCCCCAGCCCCTGGTTTCCAAACGTGCTTCCCAGCCTTCCAAAAATGAAATCACCGCTTCTTGGTCACCATCCCCTTTGCCATCCTGCCCCGGCAGCCAGGGCAGAGGGCGAAGAGCCCAGCCCGGCAGCAAACGCGGGCGTAGCGAAGAGCCAGCTCACCCTTGTATTTTAACGTACTTGAATTTTTAAGCACTGCAGCTCGGCGCGGACCCGATTCCCCCGCTGTGACGATCTCAGCCAGCGCAGGTAGCCCAGCTTAGGTGCGCGGGCTGGAGGGGGCACCCAAAACGAAGCCTCGGTGCGCCCTGCAGGCTGCCTGCGCCGCCCCTCGCAAGCCTGGTACCCGGCTTTTCGCATGCCGAGAGGCTGGCAGAGCTCGCTGGGGGCAGACGGCTCCCCCAAACGGGCTTTGCTGCCTTCATATTCGCTAGTGATGGCGTTAGATAGCACTTTGAGTCCCAATCAAATTAGGAAAGCTATAACGAACAAGAAGTGGTGCATTAATTCATTAGCAGCGAATTACACTAAATTATCTCGGCAAATAAGGTAAAACTTTAATTTACCAGCGGTGTTTTCAAACGGCTTTCGCTCCTTCGCTTCCCTTTGCAGCACAGTGCAGTTTTGCTTTGTTTTTTTTAATAACAGCAAAAACAAGAGAAGTGAATTAAATCCAGGTCCTTCGGGAAACAACGTCGTCGCTCCGATGAGAACAAACAGCGAGAAGAGGTGCCGGGACCTCTCCTCTTCCCCTCCTCGCCCAGCCCCGCTGGCTGCACGGGGGGCACCGGACAGCAGCGCGGGGCTTTGCCCTCGTCTCGCAGGGCGCGGAGAGGGCGGCCGAGCCCAGGGCAAGCGAAACGTGGCCCAAACGGCACCCGGGAAGGGGGGCTCAGAGCCTGATCTCCATCCTCAGAGGGGTGCTCAGTACCCAACCGGATGAGGCCTGAGGGAGCTGGAGGCTTTCGGGCCGGGGCACGAGCTGCCACCTCCCTGCAGCCTCGTCCACTGGCCCCCACGCCGGGGAAGCTTT